AGGACCATCTCATCGCCCTCGGCACTCGCCACACTGAAGGGGTGGTTCTCCCAGAAACTCATACCGCCCGTCTGGCGCAGAGCGGGGACGCGGATGAAGACGTGCTGCCCTGCTCGCCAGCCGGATTGGAAGGAGGTGATGACTTGGATGGATTGGGATCCGGGGAGAGGGACGAGTCGGGCGTTGGTGATGCGGGTCTTGAGAACGAGGCGGAGGATGATATCTTTGGCATAGATAATCAAGGAGATGGAACTGGAAGATGTCGTGAGATAGAGCTTGATGAAGATGAAAAAGATGCTTACGCCAACATTGCAGTTGGGGGCTGGTGGAAAGAGAGAGCGATCACGGCGACAACGTAGCCGACCCAGTGGCAGATCCAGAAGAAGCCGTAGATCCTGGTACGGATGAAAGGCACGGAGGTGACGCCCATGAACATGAATGCTGACCAGGCCACTATTGTCATCGGTCAGTTTTGACTACGTGACATGCGAAAGAAGCTCACCAATACCGGCAGTGATGTATGGTGTGGCTGCCTCCGTCGCAAACGCGCCTTTCTTGGCCCATTTGATAGCTGTGGGTGATGAGCGCTTGCGACAGACGTCTGATAGAGAACTTACTGTAGTATCCAGCGTGGAAAGTACCGCCAATACTACAGACATGATTAGCCCCTGAAAAAGCGAGGGTCTCGTGCAACACTCACAAGAGCAAACGACCAGTGAATCTGCGTCATCAAAGTAAGCTACTGTCTCATCACTTCTTTGTGCCCTGGACTAACCGGTGCAGAAAGTTCAACTTTTCATAACCTTTGCCAACAAGGAGGCCGACGGCATTGACCTTCATCCCCAGAGCGACTACGACAGGCAGCAACCATACGGCAGTGTAGCCCGCTCGATTACCATCCGCGAGAGGACTGCGCTATCGTTAGCCACCAGTGTCTACAGAGATCATAAGGACTTACTCATTCATGTAGAGCAAGCTGGTCAGGAAGATTGCCAGACACGCTGCACAAACTCCCATCTGCCCGACAGTCATATGCGCAAACGAGATACCGATATTTGCCATGCCTCCGCCCGGCACGACCGCGCTCATACTCGGCCAATGCTTGGGGGGGTTGTCCTCCACTTTCGAGAGACCGCCGGCGTAGGCGCTCGTTGGGCCGGACATGTTCTTGCCCTCTAGCTCCTTGGTAGAAAGGTGAATACCCTTGAAGAACTCTCCGCCGTTGGATGAAGAGGAGAGACGAGCGAGAAGACGGGGGAGGTAAGAGAGGAAAAAGAGGGCGAGGAGGCCACCGGCAAAGAAGATGAGAAAGACGGGAGGTTCGGAAGAGTTGCCACCGCCTCCGCCCCCGCCTCCATCACCACCTCCTCCGGAAGCAGCAGCAGCCTGTGTCGCGTTGGCGGTGGCGGCGTTACTACCGCCGGCACTCGGATTCCCACCAGAGCTGCCCGCAGCTCGGATGGCAAAGGCTTGAAGAACCGAGTCGGAGAGCGTACGGTCGAAGGACATTTTCGTGAGCCAGCTCGAGGGTTGTTGGGTGGTGGCAATGATGAGGATGAAGTCGAACGGTCACTAGACCTAAGGAGAAAAGTGGACAAGAAAGTAATAGGAAATAAGAGGTGCAGCACGGGCCAGCCGTGTTACTCTGGGTTAGTTGAAAAGAAGAAGAAGTTTGATGTTAGGACACCGAAGTGAGTCAGTCGTCTACCTTTATATACCATATGAGTCTAGAACACCCGTCATGAGACTCTGAGAATCATATGGAAGCTGCCCTCAAAGCTATGTTGGTTCTCCATGCAACCGCCGATTGATTGAGCGCAGGTGTGCGTCGAGGCCTCTGTTTGCAGGGACCGAATGGTCGCGCCACAAGGGAGCGGCAACAGTCCGATGCTACACGCAGTGAAGGAGTGCAGATAAGGTCCATAAGGGCGAAGAGCGAGAAAAGAGGGGGAGGCAACGATACGCGCTATGCAGCTGTAATCTGGCAACCAGTGGTATCGACGGCGGGTTTGAAGAGACGGTGGCAACGTCCGCAGCGGGGCGAGGTAGCGTAACCAAGTACAGTGCAACATCCTTGGCGCGTTCTGTTCTGGAAGTCATATGTCGTTTGTATTTTGACGTCCCCCCTTTACCTTCCTGTTGAGAACACTCCGCCGCCCGAGGGCTGGATCCGCAGGTAGTGACTGATGTAATCCTGATCAAACAGTGAGACCGGATGTTGAAAGATGAGCAGGCCGAGCAGGGCGCCGTCGTATGGGTAACCATGATCGCAAGCCAGGACATATCAGTGTCCCAGCTCTGTATTGGTTTGTTGTGCAGATATGCATCAGAGCCTGTGACAGCTATCACGGAGATTGGTTAGAGTACGCAGTATGTAAAGTAGCTGTAAGCATTCGTCACTGCTCGCGTACGGTACCCGTCAGAAGGTGTATGTACTTCGTGATGGTCACGAAATTGCCGATACATGACATGTTACAAACACCGCTCCCCTCTGGTCCCTAGCTATAGAGCTGCGCGCGACAAAACAATGATCGTGAGGTGACAATACCAATCAATCTACGTGCCCGTAAAACTCCGTCAAGTCCACCATCCCATTCTTCACCTTCTTCTCCCACTTGTCCCCTCTCCTGTCGAGCATAGGTGGCAGTACGGGCGTCATTGGCTCACCGAGTATTTGGCGTTTATGGATGTGGGCGACGTAGTCGGTCCATTGAAAGTCCCCGAGTAAGGCCTGCTCGGTTCGAGATAATGAGGGAGCGACGATTGGATGCAGGCCGTAGAGAAAGATGAAGAGTCAAGACATGAAAACATGGTCAGCTACGTTCACGTTGGGACGAATAAGTGGGTTCAGCACTTGCCTGTTTGGCATCGTCCCTCGGTCCAGACAACTTGATCTCCCCCAGTGTCCCCCACTGCGAGTCCTTCTTCAACATATCACCGGTGACCGCCCTGTCCAGATCCATATGTCTTGCCAAGGGCTCGCCCCTCGAGACCAGCACCACATCCCTCTGCAACGCCAACCACGCTTGCGCATTTTCCAAATCACCACACTTTACGCAGTACAGCGTCATATTCTCTATGAGCTTTTCTTGCTCTGTTGGGAGGTTTTGGGATATAGCCAGCAAGTGAGCATCGTGGAGACGGGTGAAATTATCCAAAGCCGCTTGTGGGGAAGTATTGGTAGAGTCGTGCAAGGTGAGACGGCTGGCTTGGCTGGCTCGGGTGAGCTGGTAATATCTCTCGAGCTGGGCATCGTCTTGAGCGAGCTCGTGTGGGGGTAGGGAACATTTGGGACAGGTACAAGTGTGGCCGAGGTCTTTGAGGGCGATACGGCGAGTGTGGGATTGGTCGTACACGTATATTGGATCCCATCTGATCGAGATCTCGGTATCGCGTGAAATGTCTTCTGCGGCGATGATGTCTGCCCCCAATCAGCTCTTCAACATGCAGAAGAGAGAGAGAGAGAAGAGACATACACCCCGCACAACGTTCTTCATCCCAAACAAAATGTGCATTCGGCACACAACTCCTCGGTACCCTCATAACCCTCTCAAAAAGCCCAAACATCCTCCCCCTGATGGGTTTATCACACAACACTGAATTCCCAAACCACCGCCCATACCCTCCGAGCTTTGGATAATTGTCCGGCAGATTTTGGATCTTGTCTTGAGAGCGGTGCGAGAGCTGGGAGTGGAATTGAAGGTACCGGTCGGCGGCGTTTTGGCAGTCGTACAGGATGAGAGGCCGTTCCCACATGATGATTCTGCCTGTGGTGATATCACGCTTGGCGTGAAAACGTTCGCGGAATCTGGACAGAGAGGCGTCGGTTCTGGTGTAGAGCCATGCTTCTTGGGGGGTATCGTATGTGTAGTTGGTAGCGACGAGATGTTGGGAGGGTCTATACCAAAAATTAGTATAGCTCAGCGCGCTATGTCACTCACGTATAAGCAGTCTTGCTATCGTCCTCTGCAGACTTCTCGGGCTCTGCTGCTCCTCCAACCTCCCTCGTGCCCCATCTCATACTACTCTCTACTGCAACAACCTCAGACTCTTCGTCTCCGCCCTCCTTGGCAGAGGTCCCCCCGGACAGACCTGCCCTATCCCCATCCTTCAATGATCTGTTAGGGGCAGGCTCGCCTGTGGATGTCAAGCTGTCATCTTCGGGAAAGCTGGGGGAAGAGGATAAAGGCTGAAAGGATATGTCGCTGTTGGTTAGACTCTCGTCAAGCGGGGAGATGGTCAGGGTGGAAGGGCTAGCTGAATTGGTGTCGGATGTGAAGTTGTTGGCGTCCTTCCTCGCAGTCGCCGCAACAAGCTCTTTCTCAGCATGCTCTGCTTCACCGGCGCCGATGTCACTGATTGTACCCATCCCCTTTACCTCGGCTGTCATATGCGGCTCTTCAGTTGACTGTTTTTGGCGGGGGGCGGGGGGTGGGACGGATGTTGTCTGCGGTGTATAAGTATCTTTGAAGAAAGCAGACGCATTCTTTTCTTGCATGCTACAATGGAAGGATTGTCAGGTCCCAAAAGAGCTTCCGTGTGCAGAATGGGGTCCTTGGAGGGGAAGCTTCCTTTCGCCCACTCCTGCAGGCTGTCGTACGCGCTTGATCTTGTATTTTCCAACACGTTGCTGTGGTAGCTGTCCAAGTGACGTTTATCTTGGCGTAAGGCGATGGGCTAGGGTATTTTATGACATCGTGGAGTACGAGGGCGCGGAAGTCGATATGGGAAACTGTATGGGGCCTGCATCGGGTTGGCAGGCGGAAGAACTGGGACTTAGGAGAAGCGTGGGGTGGTTGTGACTCGGAGACGGACGAGCCGAATTTCAAAGTGGCGATATGTCGATATCCCATCTGCATGATATGTTGGGGGGATTAGAAGGTTTTGTAGGGGCAACTGAAGGTAACAGTCGTTCATGGCGACATGATTCGGATGAGCAAACGTCTTTACCCCGGTACTCCTTGTCACATCAGTTATTGTAGCACAGCGTGAACATTACAGGAGCTTTAGCTCAGTGGTAGAGTAGTAGATTCCAATTCTGGTTTGTTCATCTATTGGTCACAGGTTCAAGTCCTGTAAGCTTCATCTTTTTGCCTTTTTGCATTGCTATTTGGCAGTTCTATTGCACCCATGGGTTGCTCAGCTTCCAAGCGACTATTGAGGTATTGAACGCGTCTTTATTGGGTTGCCTGACCTCGTGACTCCTCTCGCTGCAAGAAAGTGTCAAAGGCTCAGAAGTCAAAGTCAGACGCGTTCGCGGTCCGCTGCTCGGACGCGATCATATTCTAATTCTTGTTCCCGCTCACTCGTACTCGCCAACATTGACCCCTACACCTCCCTATAAACCATAACCAACCCTCTCAGCAGATCGATCGATGACTTTCACGACGGCTGAGGCAAGGAAGAAGAGAATGTCGACAGCCGGGACTGAGACCCGTTGGGAAACGTGACCCGCCGCTTCACACGCAATGGAGCGCTGATGCAGATACTTTATGGGACGGGATTTCTCGTCGAAAGCTATCTGCTTGAGGCTAGTATGTCGGTCGATTCCCCATGTCAAAGACAAACGATCAACCGACATAAACGCACTGGTGGCACCCAAGGCTGGAGGACCACATGGGCTTCCCTCGGATGAAGGCGCGGGCCTCTTCCGAGGTTCCCGAGAGATACATGTGGGCTCTCATGCAAGCAGGCGATTTAGAAGTCCTAAAGTGGGAGCGCAGGCAAGAGTTCCTAGTTTGCTATGATGACCATGAGGTTATGGTCGCCTTTGATAGTTGATGTCAAGACGGGGAAAATGAGCCTTGGAAGCGGGGGAGGAGGGGGATGTTGGAAGTTTTATAGGCAAGACTTGATCAACCCCTGGGATGCCAGAGTACTGACCAGCTGCTTGCAGTATATGTATGCTCTAGTAGTGTCTCATCAAGTCTGCCATCTCATCTTCACTATCGGCTCGGCCGCCACGTCCCCACCATGCGCATCAGCTCGGGCGAGCGGAGCCTTGACTCTTTTTAAGGGGTCCCAAAACACCAGTTGACTTGAACGATCGAACGCAGAGTAGAGCGAGGTGCGATTGTATGCTATTATGCCATCACTGCGCTCTGCTACATATGCACGATGATCCCTCTTCGTTCTTGAAGAATTGTAGAAAATCACCAAGCCGCACCAGAACCCAGACCTAAGCCTCCAGTCGCGCCCGCCCCAGCCCCAGGTGCGCCAGCCCTCCTCTGATCCCTGAACGCACTACTCCAAGTCCCACTCCCTCCGCCCTCCCCTCTTTCTCTCCTCTCCCCCCTTTCTCCCCTCTCTCCCCTCTCCCCACGCTCACCCCGGTCATTCCGCTCCCGATGTCCCCGCTCATGGTGATGGTGCCCATAACTTCGAGGCTGGTACTCTACATTACCCCCGTCGCCAGGCAACAGCGCGCCGGGGGTGGTGCCGGAGCCGTTTTGGAGCGGGTTGGGAGGGAGAGTGCCGTTGGTGTTGGTTGTAGTGGTGGTGGTGGTGGAGGTGTGGGGTTTGTTGGCGTTTTCGAGGAGGGCGCGGTTGGCGCGGTAGTCGCAGACGGTCGTCGATGGGAGGCTCAACAAACTCAAAATCTTGGCCCTGTTTTCAATCCGTCAGCACTTCTCTTTACAACGTCTCTTGGTGAAAGAGACTCACTTCAAAGCACCGCTCCTGACAGCATCACTCTCATCCTCAACCCACACACTCAGAATCCCCTCCGCCTGCCTGACACTTAGTACACACCCGACGACATGGTCCGACTCGTCAAATTGGTCGCCGATGAGGGAGAAGAGGAGGGATTCGTAGAGAACGGGGGTGATGGGGTGGACGAGCCGGATGGTGAAGCGGCCGCCGCTAACATGTATTTGTCAGTAGAGATACCAAAGGATTGCTGTGGATGGGACCGGCTTACTCTCGCATCTCTTCCCAGATACCGGGTCGGGCGATACGGCTGACGAATACGAGCATGTCGGTGACGGGGGGTAATTCGTTTACCGGAGTAAGGTGAGAGTAGAGATGGAGGAATGATTCAATCTACCCCGTATCAACGTCAGCTTGTCTTCCGCGCCTGATTTGAGAGAGGTTGACGTACAGAGCCAAAAGTCGCGACCCGGCGGATCTCCTTCTCATAGTCCACTTTAGCGTTGGGGGGTCGGTGGACATAGGACAAAGACCAGCTATACAGAGATGAGCCGACCTCTTTTGACTAGCTGTTATGGGACTTACTCTTGCCGGAGAGGATGACGGCCAGAGACAGGAGCTGGAACAGCATTATTGGCCTTGTCAACACTCAAAGACAATCTGGAGGAGCCTCCGTGAGATATGGCTCGGCGGCTGGGGGCGGTAGATTGAGACATTGCGAGTATGCGTAAGGCGACAAGTCTGGAGGTCGAGAGATGGAGGCGCTTTAGGGAGCTAGCTTGAGCTGTTGCGAGGCGGGAAAAAAGCTTGAATGTAGACGTGGGAAGAGTGGCTGGCTGATGCTATCCGTTGTTGGATGACGAGATGTGGCAGCTGGGTTGGGGTGTTGTGGCTGTTGGTGTTGGATGTATTTTTCGTCTTTTGGCTTCAACTCGGATTTCGGCACGAATGGCAGCTCGCCGTTGTTCCAATTAGGCGCGAGCATATGTCAGGCGGGGAGGGCCGCTGATAGGTGTTCCTGGGCAGGATGACGCTGTTGACGTCACGCCTGCGCCCACCGCATGTCTGTTTCCGTGCGAGTATATATAGCCAGAGAGAATCAAAACACCGCCCACCTATCTTGAAAACACACTCAGCACAATGTCCTCGTACCCTCCCACCAACGCCTTCAACCCCGTCCAGCCTGCCCTTCAGGAGAACCCCTACGTCAAGAGGCAGCCCATGACCCAGCCCTCAATGGGTAAGCTCCAGGACTTTTCACTGGAAACGAATATTGACGATTTTGGCAGACGCTCAGCAAGTTCCCGCTGGATCCAAGCAAGAAGAAGAGCCTATGAGGTTGCGAGGTGGTTGTCCCGGTCACTTTTGTGGTTTGCGTGAGTCTCCGACAATTACAGCTCAAAGGATCCAGCTAACTCGACGCGTAGCCATCTTGCCTTGCCGGTACGCTTCCCAGCTTATCCGTCTTAAAGGAACTGGCTAACATTCTCTGTAGATGCGACATTTGTATCTTCCCCATCCCTTGCTGTTGATTCATCATATCCATGTCTCTCTATAATCCCTACGGACCGTTGTACCAGCACACACGCATTATATGTATCAATATCTTGTCCGCTTTCCAGCACTTTGAATGGAGTCTTTCAACTCTAAAGTTCCTCCCGGAACTGTCCTGTGGTGAGGAAACGACGTGCTTCTGCGGAAATATCGCCCCATGCGAGGTCAGGTGCGGAATCTGTGTGAGGCGGTGAGGTTGGCGCGAACTGTGTGCGCTTGGAGGTCGTGTCTCGAGATCCCGAGGTGACAGGCGGCCGTATCGTCTCGGAAAAGCTTGGACTGCTCGGAGGCCGCAGTATCTCACTGATCGCAGCTCTCTTGCTTGCCGTTGTCCCGTCTGGCAGCCCGCGCAAAAAGTCTTCGGCGTGGTCGGACCATGCTAGGTCAATAGGAGGCGTCGGGCTGGGGCTCTTTGTCGGGGCCTCAGTCTTGGCATCATCGTACAGCGCGAATGACACTCGTGATTTCTGTTTCTGAGAAGATTGCTGTCCGGTAGATTGATCATTGCCCCGACTTTCGTTCACCTTACCAAACTCCAAAGAAGAGACATTCAGCCCCGAATCAAACGACAATGTCTCTGCAGATCTCCGGCTTCCCCTTATGATCCCAGTCTCCTCACTCCAACTCACACCCCCAACCACTTTATGCTCCCACCTATCTTCCCCTCTCCTTCTTCTCCTACTATCTACCCTCCTGAACAAATCTCCACTCCTCTCATACTCTTTCTTCCCCATCAAGTATTTTCCAGCCTCAATATCAGACTCTACCATACTTTTCCCGCAGTCGCAGGAACAAGCAGCCTCTCGGAGTCTCGCTGGGATGGCGTTGATAGATATTCGGTCGTTTGTCAGTGGTGGGTTGTATGTCACATGCGACGTATTCAGTCTATACTCTCTCCATACCATCGCTTCCCTCCTCGACTTTCCCTGCTTGTTACTACTACCCTGGCTTTTCTCAGACCAAGGCTCTTTATCAGTCATCTCTTCCAGCATATACAGCCTATTCGTCTTGATCTCGCTCTCGGGAGTACTGAGGTTTATTATCGGTTTATCTTGCGATTGTTGTAAAGAGGTGGTGGTGATACTCGAAGCGAGCTGCGAGGCCACGCTGTATAGAGATGATAGTGTTGGGGTGGGCCAGGCCATATTTGTTGATGGTAGCAAATCAGGCAGAGCTGAAAGAACGATGTCGATAAGCTGGAAAGTACAACGCGGTATGGGAAGCTTCGGAAGGCTTTGAGAGGCTTTCATATCAAGCAGATGCATGCATCGTGAGAGCGACTCGATCACGAGCCCTAATGAAAGACTGGGTCCATAATCTGGTATGATGGGAAATAAAGGAAGAAAGAAAGACAGAAAGAAGGCCAAAGAAGAAGCGACAGAGCGGGATTGATTGTGGTCTTCTGGAAGGCGAATCAGAAGAGCTGAACAAAGCAGAGTCAAAGGATTCCACTAGTCTAATCTCGCTGCGATTTGGATGCCAACTGGAGTCCACCCTATCAAGGTCGGATAAACTCACATTTGATTTGCTTATCTGTTCATTCCGGGAAGACCGCAGCAGCTGGGCGGGGCATGCATGGCCCAGGCATGCATTGCATCGTTCAACATCACCTCATGCTCGTTATGTAATCACCCCAATCCTCCTCGTCAACACACGCGCCTCCACTTTTTGGCCGCGACAAGTGCACCTTATCCTGAACATCCTGTATTTCATTTCAGAAACGACAGACACCATCCACATCGTCCTCCCGGCCACCAGCATGATCCTTTTATACCTTCTCCTCCTGATCCCAATCGCCCAGGCTCTACACCAGTCTCAGCTCCGCGACAGATCAATCTACCAAGTCCTCACCGACCGCTTTGCGCGCTCAGACGGGACGACGC